CTGTCTGTTGCTCAGTCACATCTGACTTTTGGCAACTCTATGGACTGTAGCTCGCCAGGCTCCTCGGTCCATGGGATTTTTCTCGGCAAGAATCCTGGAGTGGGTGGCCATTTCCTCCTCCAGGGGATCTTCCAGACTCAGGGATCAACCCCTCATCTCTTGCATCGCCTGCGCTGCAGGCGGATTCTTAACCACTGAGCCACCGGGGAAGCCCCCCTGCGCCAGAAAACGTGCAGATGAAACATAGGCTGCAGGTGGAGGGATGTTTGCAGCACACACCGTAACAATCCAACTTCTCTACACACACAGAGGACGCCTATAATTATTAAGCAAAAGCCGGCCATCCCAACAGGTACCTGAGGGAAGGGTACGGGTCGACCCTTATGAGAGAGGGAGCCTGCAGATCTAGCACAGAGAACGTTTGTTCATCGAGGAAAGTGAAACTGTAAGATGAGCCGCTTAGCTCGGAATCAGCAGAGCGCATGTCTCTGCGCCCAGCGCCGGCTGAGTCCAGGGAAGCAGGCGGCCCCCAGCGGAGTGAGCCTCCTGGGAACATGTGGGTGGCATCTCCTCACGAGGGCGGGGTGACTGGCTGGTGGATGTTCCTGCAGGATCCATTGTCACAAAGCAGAGACCACTCTGAGTGTGGTTCATTCCTCAAACAGAAAGTTACACAGAAGTTAAAATCAATGAACTGCGAACATGGATATAACAACTGTGATAAATCTCAAAGGCAGGGTGGTATTTTTTTAAAAAGCAAAGTGTACAATAAATGTATAAAATGAAACCATTTATCTGGTCTGTAAAACACAAAAACTCTATCTCCACCTGGCATAGAGACACAAGAATATATCAAGACGACACAGGGATGTGGCGAGATGAGGCCACACTTAGTTCGGGACAGTCTTGGTCCCTGGGGTTCTCCAGGCTCCAGGCGGGGGTCACGGAGGCAGTCAGGGACTCAGGACAAGGATCCCCCCTCACTGTAAGATTTTACTTCTTAGGAAAATATTTAAAGCAAATATTTCAAAAATGACTAAATCATAATGATAGGAAACGGCTGTTTGGTGTATTATTGACTTTTCTCCAGGCTTGAAGTACTTCGTTTTTAAAAGAGTCAGATGAGATAGAGTTTCTATACTGAGTAAGACTGGCTGCCTCCTCCTTCAGCACAGAGCAGGGTCCTCACTCCCACCCAACACAGCTGGGGCAATGGGGCTGGGGTCCACACTCTTCCTCAGTTTTCGCTTTATCTCATATACATGTGTATGTGTGTGTGTGTGCACATGTGCCTGTGTGTGCATGCTCATGTATGTGTGCATGTGTGTGCACCTGCATGTGTTTGTGTGTGTGCACGTGTCTGTGTGCATGCATGTACGCATGTTTGCCTGTGTGCACACATGTGTGCACACACATGTGTGTGCATGTGTGTGCGTGTGTGGGGGGTGTGTGCGTGCGTGCACATGTGCCTGTGTGTGCATGCTCATGTATGTGTGCACATGTGTGTGCACCTGCATGTGTTTGTGTGTGCCTGTGTGTGTTTGTGTGTGTACATGTGTCTGTATGTAGATGTGCATGTGTGCATGCATGTACGCATGTTTGCCTGTGTGCACACATGTGTGCACACACATGTGTGTGCGTGTGTGTGCGTGTGTGGGTGTGTGTGTGTGCATGCACATGTGCCTGTGTGTGCATGCTCATGTATGTGTGCACATGTGTGTGCAACTGCACGTGTTTGTGTGTGCCTGTGTGTGCCTGCGTGTGTACATGTGTCTGTGTGTGCATGTGTGCATGCATGTACGCGTGTTTGCCTGTGTGTGCACACACATGTGTGAACGTGTGTGCATGTGTGGGGGGTGTGTGTGCGTGCGTGCACATGTGCCTGTGTGTGCGTGCATGTGTTCGCCTTGCTCTGCGGGCTGGCTTGCTCGGGTCTCTGCGGCCAGGCTTTCCAGTCTGTCTTATGACCAGGTTTCCGGGCGCTTGCCCATGATCACGACCTCCTGACCTGGTGCGCCTGGCCACCAGGCGTGTCCCCATGCTGTGCTCTCTGCTGTCCTGGGGCTCTGGGGACACTCCAGGGACCCCAGCCACTTGCAAATGCCTCCTGCCCACCTGTGGGTCCTGTGACACGGCTCCAGGCTGCTGATGTGGCTGGCAGGTCTGCCAAGGCTCCGCTCCAGACAGGGCGGCCACAGAGCAAAGCAGTGTCACCCAGGGAGGAGGCGGGGAGGGATCTGCAGGAACAGGAAACGGGGTGACATGGCCAGCTCTCCTGCTTGAGCTTCGTAAACCCCAAATAAATCTGTGATGTTTATATTCTAGAATCTTAGGCTGAACCAGGCCTAGGAGCTGGGTGACTTCAGGATGAATTAGACACACAGTGAGATGCTGGCTAAGACTCGCTGAGCCAACAGGCACGTGCAGAGGCGCAGAGACTATAGGTTAGAAACACCAGCCGGAGGCCTGGGGCGGGGGGAGCAGGTCTGACGGAGGACGCGGCAGCAGGCGCAGTGTCCCGAGGGGAGGGGCGGGGCACTGCCTGGGTGCACGGACAGGGCAGGGGTGCCCGGAAGGCAATGGGGATCCCTGGGGGCGCAGGAGGGGTCCCACCCTGAGATGGCACAAGAGTGCAGAACGGCGAGGCTGGGGAGGAGGGGCCAAGGAGACCAGGAGGCAAGGGGGCAGACGCGCGCATCTAGAGACGCTCGGCCGCCTCTGAAAGGCTGCTCCACCCGGCGAGGACACCACTGCGGAACGGGAATCAGACAGGGCTGAAGGGAACCCACGCAGGGTGAGTGGGAGCAGCCCGCCCCTTCCTCTCCCACTCCACGGCGCTCTCTCCTGCCCACGCTGCTCTCGGTTGACAAGAAGGCCTCGGGCAGGCGCGGGGATGCCCAAAACCTGGAGATGCAGCAACTAAGATGGTGATGAGGTTTTCAGGGAGGCTGATGCACACCACAGTGACTACTAGCTTCAGGCAAAGGGCTGCGGGCTCAGCTAGCTGTGCATTTCCACTGAAGCCGCAGGAAATCTACCCAGGATGCCCCGGGGAAAACATGTGTGCACCACGGCCCCCAGGGCCACCCCACAAGGACGCCCAGGTCCAGACGAGCTGGTTCCACCAGCACCAGGGGAGGCTTTGTGTGACTGAATCGCGGGTACTTCAGTATTTAACTCGGTAAGTCTATGCATGGGCACTCAGGATGAAAATGACTTGAGTTTCATCCATTCCATTAAAAATGTATGCGCTGTCCATCCACCATGGGCAGTCGCCACAGACAGAATGTCTTCGCTTCCCCCACAATGAACGTGTTGGAGCCTAACCCCCATGTGACGGTCTTAGGAAGCGGGGCTGAGGGGGTCGTGAGGGTGGGCCCCCTTGGATGGGATTCGTGGGGAGGCAGGCAGGAAGCCGGAGTGTGAACCACCAGCCAGGGCGGAAAGGACCAGCGGCCGGGGGCAGCAGCCCCCGAGGGGTCTCCCGGGCAGTGCACACGCCCCTCGCCTCAGGACGTTGGCGCCTGCACGGAGTCCTCCGTCAGACCTGTGAGAGGTGAGAGGCTCAGGGCCTGGCGGGCCGCCGCCGGGGCTCTATACGCCCTGGACGGTGCTCTGCGTGGCCCCCTCTTGCTTCTCCTGACTCGCGGGGCAACCGGCTGAGCGCCTGGCCCGCTGGTCTGTGTGGCTCCCGTGCTCTGGTGCCCGTCCCGCTGCAGGGCCAAGCAGCCCAGCTGCGCACAGTCGTGCCTGCTTCTCCAAGTGGGGGCCGAGGCTTCCCGAGCCCCCAGTGGACGGCTGCCCACCTGGCCGCCCCACCGCTGGGCAGTCCGCCTCTCTAAGCTCGTTCAGAGATCCGCTGTCTGGGCGCTCTGGCCAGGCTGGGCCCTGGAAAGTCTTGGGCACACCCTGAGTTGCTGGACTCCGTGGGACCTTCCCCTCCAGCCTCAGGCCTGGGCGGGGGGGCCAGGGGCCTGCCGTTGGCGTCCAGCGCCTGGGCAGCAAGGCATCTTCCTCCCTCCCAGCGTGTGGGGGCTTCCAGGAAACGGAAACTAGAGCAGGGAGTTTTTAGAGGAGTTATTTTTATAGCCCTTCAATTTATTTATATTTATCAAATATGTACCCATCGCTAAAATCTCTTTGGAGGGTGTTAAAAAATTAAAGGATTGCATCTAAAAATATTGACCCTGATATGCAGTGTGCATGGCTAAGTCCCGGCCCCAGAGACGTCAGGACGGGGCCGTGACAGGGAGTGTGTGGCGGGTGGGGACTGCGGAAGAGATGCCGCTTCCTCCCTCAGGAAAGAGCGGTCGTGATGCGGCCGTGCCCGAGTCTGAGATCCATTCCTTCCCCTCCACATTCTCATCTGTCTGTCCATTCATTTAGCACACCCTGGACGAGCGTCTGCTGATTCACCCGCTTCTGGGGGGCAGCTGCACCCCAGCTCCGGCAGGCTCTGGGGCTGGACAGCGGCCCCCACCTGCACTCGGCCCCGGGCACATCACCTGTGTCCTGAGCAGATAACCGGCTCCCCGGAGGCCGGCGCCCTTGTCCCCAGAAAGGCCAGAGCACCGCCCCTGGGCAGAGAGCGGGGAAGCTGGGTGCCAGCCTGGACCCAGGAGTCCTCGGGGATGGGGGTGGCCAGCGGCTCAGCCCAGGGAGGCCAGGGGGTCCCCACGGCCGAGTGTGGCCCTGAAGAGCTTCCAGGTCCTCACCGGCCCAGCTCACGGCCGGGTCTCCGCCAGCCCAGGGTCACAGCCGGGTCTCCGCCGGCCCAGGGTTCTGGCCAGGTCTCCACCGGCCCAGCTCACGGCCGGGTCTCCGCCAGCCCAGGGTCACAGACGGGTATCCACTGGCCCAGGGTCGTGGCCAGGTCTCCACCGGCCCAGGGTTGTGGCCAGGTCTCCACCGGCCCAGGGTTGTGGCCAGGTCTCCACCGGCCCAGCTCACGGCCGGGTCTCCGCCAGCCCAGGGTCACGGCCCGGTCTGCACTGGCCCAGCTGGGCCAGCCGTCCCCAAGTCCTCGTCACAGATGTATCCCCGTGTGGGGCTGGCCCTGCGCGCCTGTTTGCGCTTCCTGCCCAGCCCTAAGGGCCTTGAGGTCAGCTCTCCTGTGTCCCCTGGTGCCCTTACTGGGGCAAAAATAGACACCCGAGCCCCGGAAGCCCCAGGAGGGCAGAGAGGCAGGCCTGCAGGACCGCGGTCTGGGCTCCCTGGGCCCCGCAGAGCAGACACCGGCCCTCGGGAGGGGCTCTCGGGCCACCTCTGGCCTCTCCCCGGCCCTCGCTTCCCTGGGCCCTTTAACTGCACCTGCGGGGGGGGGTCCCCACATCTGGGCAGAGCCCTGCAACCTGGGCGGAACCTCCGGGGAGGCAGGGGGCAGGCCGGGACCGCTCGGCCCTCACGGGGGTGACGGTCCCCCCAGCCCGCACTGTCCCCGTCGCCCACCTCAGCTCCAGCAGCCGCGCCTGCTCATCCGAGGACACGGGGGCGTCACTGTGAAGAGCTGTGAATGTGGAGCGTCGGGGCCAGGAGCGGGGACACGGGATGCCCTGTGCCGAGGGCTCCTCGGCGTCCCCTGGGACCGCTGGTTCCCCGGGGAGAGGGAGCCAGCAAGGCCTCCTCAGATCTGCTCTATTCACTCCTGAAATCCAAAAGGTTCTCAGCATCCTCCGTCTTGCCCTCTCTCCCCCTGGGGGTCTCTCCCTGGGGGTCTCTCCCTGGGGGTCTCTCTCCCTGGAGGTCTCTCTCTCTGGGGGTCTCTCCCTGGGGGTCTCTCTCCCTGGGGGTCTCTCTCTCTGGGGGTCTCTCCCTCCCTGGGGGTCTCTCCCTGGGGTCTCTCTCCCCCTGGGGGTCTCTCCCTGGGGGTCTCTCTCCCCCTGGGGGTCTCTCCCTGAGGGTCTCTCTCTCCCTGGGGGTCTCTCTCTCCCTGGGGGTCTCTCTCCCTGGGGGTCTCTCCCTCCCTGGGGGTCTCTCCCTGGGGGTCTCTCTCCCCCTGGGGGTCTCTCCCTGGAGGTCTCTCCCTCCCTGGGGGTCTCTTTCCCTGGGGGTCTCTCCCTGGGGGTCTCCCCCACCCAGGTCATCACACGAGCTCCTGCAGAGCCCAGCCCACGTGCTGTTCTCGTCTCATCGTCAGCCCCCTCCTCTCCTTTTGCTCCAAGACTTCCCATCAGGGCACCCCCCGCCCCCACCCCCCAGGCTCTCTTCACATCATTCGCATCCAGGCTGCAGAATCAGGAGCTGCGTGTGCTTTTTAACAGCACCCTCCATGACTTGGGCTCTGATCCCGCCTCCCCTCACCGGGTCCCCGAGCACCCTCCCCACCACCTCATAGGCAGCGCTCCCCCGGCAGCTCCACGGTGAAGGGGGTTTTGCCACGTCTCCCGCTTTTCTGCAGACAGAAGGCTCTGCAGATAATATTCTTCTTAAATATTCAGCAATTATGTATTTAGTTGCTACCAACCACAGAGAAAAATATGCATATTAAAGCATCCATAATTACATAATAAGCACTTCCTGTCAATTGCATTTTGCTGCCATGTACTCTCTGTCCCCTTTATCTTAAAAAACTTTCCGAGGCCATTACCATAAACGCTAGAATAAATCAGGCAACGGGCAGCAGGCTAACGTGAAATGAAGGGTTTGTTTGTGGGGAGGTGTTGACTCAAATAGCGCAGGTCTGGTCACGTGGGGTGCCTGGCTCCACCGTGGACAGTGACGCTCTCCGGGGGAAGGTCGGGGGGCAGAAGCCGCAGAAGGATGCGTCCGGGAAGGCCCGCTGGCCAGGCCTGACCCTCGCTCCTGGCCCTTCTGGGTCCGCAGGTCTCCTGACAGTTTCTCAGACTTAGTAGAACCCCAGTTCCTGATTCTTAGTGTCCCTGGCCCAAGGAAGGTGGCGGGGGTCCCCAGAGGCACTGGGGGTGCCAGCATCTCAGTTCGTCTGCCCGCAGCCCCTCACTCAGCCCCTGCCGGGGCTCCCATGACCTGACCTCCGACCACGGCCAGCACCTAGCCAGGGTCCTTGTTGAGTGAACACATGAGTCGATAATCAATAAACAATAAATATTACAATCAAACTCAGGTTGCTTAAAATCCAAGCAGAGAACAAAAGTGATTTCTTAAAAGAATCTGAGAGCCAAAGCCAGGACCAGCGAAACAATAAACAAACAAACAAATCTGCGATTGGATTTCTCTTCCCTGGAGGCAGCGAGCTGGGTCTTCCGCAAATAGTCTTTCTGCGCTGCTGAGGGGCTCCGGCCGCAGCAATGGGCCCAGGCCTGCACCCCGACCCCGCTCCGGTCCCGGCGGTGGGCATCCTGAGCATGTGTGTCCCCTGAGCATCTGACATCTCCCCACGAATAGGCGCTTCTGTCCACGGTGCTCACTGGACCGTGTTAGAGTTTCACGTTCACGGTGCAGCGAGTGTGACTTTGCAACAAGCTCTTTTCCTCTGGATTTCTCTCTGCGTGTGGTCTGACATTCGTTGGAATTGGTGCATGCAGCTCGCGTCCATTCTTTGTAACAGACAAAGTTACTCTGCGTGCTAACGGGCCGCGGGGCGAGAGGCCTAAGCGATATGCAGTGTGGGGTCCGGGCCCCAGCCGGGGGGTGGCTCCAGCCTTGCAGGTGGAGCTGGGCTGCGGGGTGGGAGCCCTCGACCCCGTGATGGCTCATCATTCCCCTCCTGAGTTTCTATGGCAACTGTCGGGGAGGGGGCATGGGCAATCTCGTTTCCTGTGTCTCTCGTCTCCCCCTTGCTTCTCTGAGCAGATCGCGTGCGGCCTTCTTGATTTCCTGTCTCTCTGCGGGAATGCTTCTCATACTTTGGGTTTTTCCTCTGTGTTTGCTCACGTCTGTTGAGCTTTGTCGCCGTCCTTGGTCCTGCACTATGTCATCACACTCTTACTGCCTGAATCTCTCTTCAGAGAAAAAATAACCATTCACTGCCGTTCCGACAACTCAGATATTTACCTTGTTGTGTATGTTTTATTTCTTCACTGGAGTATTGCTTCTTGTTTTCCTGTTATCTGTTCGCTTTCTTCTGGACTATCCCCATTCCCTTTGGTCCCTGCTAACCGTTCTCCATCCTCTTTCGAATCTACCACTGTGGCCTTCCCACACGCAGAGACGCCCTCACAGACCCAGATTCTTGCTGTCGACGGAAGCATGTCACAGCCTCTGTCTCGGGTCCCAGGGAGACGAGAGATGGGAGCCTTTATCTTCCTCCTTCGCTTCATTTCTCAGTTTTGTCAAAATCGTTTGGGATTGTAGAGCTATTGTTTACTTTTCAAAAGGGCTATTCTCTCGAGTCTGGAAAATCAGTCCCTTCCAGCTGGGCTGATGGCTTTACACACAAACAAGCCAGGCTTGTCTGCAAGAAATCCGAGGGCATTTGTTTAGCGTGATTACATACAGGTGTCTAGCAAGAGGAAGATTTATTGAATTTTTAACTGTCAGTTAAAATAGAGAGTATTGAACTTTCTATTTTGGTACCTTTCTGAGCAAGGTCAATACCGAGACGTCTGTCACCTGTCACCCCCAAGCTGATATTCATAATCCAAACAATTCTCTGCCTGTCAGGGAACCAAAGAAACAAGTGCGCTCTGCCTCCCTGTCAGCGAGGGCGGTGGGACACACGCCCGGACTTCAGGAGGAAGCAGAGGGCGGCCGTCCAGCCACGCTTTCCCTCTTTGTCATGGAGCTGGGACCCCAGGCCAGGTTGCAGGGCCAGCGACACAAGGGTCCACGTCCCTCTCCCCGCAGCATCCCCGCTTGGCTGGCCCATCAGAGCCGGGCACTGAGCAGGCCTGTGGGAGCGGCTTGGGGCCCCCTGCCTCCACCCCAGCGGGTTCAGACAACCGCATGACTCCCGGCACCGGCTGCCTCGCTGGACTTGTAGGAATGAGAGTAATAACAACAGCAATGGACATGTTGCACGGCATGGGCTTAAAAAGCGCCGACCCTCCAAAACCTGTCACGTATCCAAGGCAGGCATGGCACCCGGCTTCTGCATCTGGGAAGGCTCACAGGAGGAGGAGTCCAAACAGGACCCACATGGGATTCCAGGAGGATGGGGTGGAGAAGGCCGGAAAGCAGGCTGTCCTGTCCCAGCTGCTCGGTGATTGGCCAGTGGTGTGGGTACAAAGGATGCTCTCGTTTAGGGGAACGTGGAGGGCGGATCCGCGTCTGGGGAGCAGGGGAGTGCCGCCTCGGGTATCAGACAAGGGTGGACTTGAGTCCGGGAACAGGGCTGCCCTGGAGTGTCCTGCATGGGGGGCTAGGTGGGGCAGGGAGGTCTGGCCACCCGGAGGTTCTCCAGGAACCCAGGAGGGTTCTGTGGAGTCCGTGTAGGAGTGACGCTCTCCCACCTGGCCCAGCCCCGGAGCTCCAGGCTAGTGTCCATTCTCCCTCTTGACCAGCCATCCCCATGGCCAAGAAGTTTCCAGAGGAGCTGAGGGGGGTGCTGGGGGGCTGGCTTTGTAACCACCACGGTGGCCTCCTCAGCATCTGGAGCTGGGCTGCTGTCCGCCTGGGCCCATGTGCAGCGGGTGCTGTTGTTACCCACGGGCTGACGGAGGGCGGCTGGTGGGCTGACCACGCATGCCCCCCGCACCAGCCTCCCGGGACGGTGTGTGCCCGGCTCTGGCTCTGCCTCGCCCCCACCTCCGTGGAATCCGGGTTGGTCGTAAGAGGAGCAGGCAGAGCCGGGACCCCTGATTTGTCTCCCTTCTGTTCTAATTACATTTGGAGCTCTTAATCCCGGGTTTGAGCCACAGTGGTGCCTGGGCCTTGACCCTTCCCCTCGCTGCCCACAAACCACAGGGCCCCGCGCTGCTCTGCCCGCAAACCACAGGGCCCCGCGCTGCTCTGCCCGCAAACCACAGGGCCCTGGGCCTGGCTCACAGGCGCTGGCCGGAGGGGCAGGCACAGACGCTGAAAAGAGGTCATGGGCAGAGGAGCCGTCCACAACCTTCCGCTTTAATGTCTCATTAACTTTCGAGTCAAACTGAGCCTAGTGACAACACAGGCCCGAGCTCCCAGTGGGAGGCCGCGGACGGGTCCTTGCTGGGCCTGGACTCTGCCCTGAGGATGGCGCGGGCTCACGCCCCGGAGGTGGACAAAGCTCCAGCAGTGGGCAGGACACGCGGATGCCGGCCTGGCCTCGCCCACCCAGGACCCTCCCACGACGCAGAGGCGCGGGAGAGACCAGGGCCGCAGACCTCCGGGGGGTGTGGGCTCCAGGCAGATGCCCCCGGTGGCCCCTCCAGAGCCTCCCAAGGCCCCTCAGCGGCTCACCTCCCCAGCTCTGAGCCCCCAGCTCAACCAGAGGGAGGAAGCCTCGGGGCCAAGAGCAGGAATCGGGTGGGTCCCAGGGGCGGGGTGAGGCGCCCCCGCCTTGCCCCACTGGGGTTTGGAGCACGTCCGCACTGTCCTGGGCTGGCCCCCAGCCCTGGGCCCCAGGGAGGGGGTGCCCACTGCCGGCTGCGGGGCCAGCTCGGGGTAGTCAGGGCGGGACCCGGGCTGAAGACCAGGGCTGCGCCTGGGCGCTGAGTCGGGGGCTCCTGCCCGTCACCACCTGGGTGTGGGGAGGGGCACGCAGAGGACATCCCTGGGGAGCCGGAGCAGGTGGGTGATCGGTCATCGTCACTGGTGCCCCCGGCACCCTGAAGCCCCTCCATATGGGTGTCATTTCACAAAAGACAAAGCGGAGGGGCCCACGGGACGCCACGGGAGCCCGAGGCCACCGAGGCGGGACTGATGCTACCTCTGGGGTCTCCCCGCCCCGCCTCCAGGCCCCGCCCCGGCCCCGCCCCTCCAGGCCCCGCCCCCTCCAGGCCCCGCCCCTCCAGGCTCCGCCTCCTTTCTCCGGCCCCGCGGCCTTCTCTTCAGCCGGACGTTCCCCTTCGGTCACAGGGCAGGCCTCCTCCCACCCCGAAGCCGGCCCTCTCCTGCGGTCCCTCCCCAGGGCCGCCCCCCGCCGCCCCCACGGCTGGCTCGCCGCTCCTCACAGAGGCCTTTCTTCCGCCTCCTCCGCAGGTGAGACGCCTTCAGCCCCTGTTTCTGGAGCCCCAGGGACGGCCCCTCGGACGTCCCAGCGCCCCCAGGCCCGCCAGGCAGGCCGGCACCGCAGTGACCAGCGTGTCGGGTGCCTGGAAGAGGATTTGGGAGGAGATGGCTTTGTTCGCGAAAGGTCACGAGGACGCTGACCTTCACAGCGCGGAGAAGACACGGTCCGTGTCCCCGGTCCTGTCCACAGCCTCCTGTCTCTCCTGCCAGCAGCTGGCACGGAGCCTCGGAAGTGCAGACCCGCAGCTCCAGACTGCTTCTCAGAGTCACTCCTGAGGACAGTCTCGGGGCATCCACTGAGGCCCTCCCCCGCAGCCTGGCTTGAAGCCCCGACCGGGACGGGCCATGGGTCGAGGCGCCGTCTCCTGCGATGCTGGACTGGTGGGCGTGGGGCGGGCGCCAGGCGGGGGGCCGTCCGCCCAGCTTCCCCCAGGCTCAGCCCAGCCCAGCCCTGCCAAGGCTCGAGCTCCCGCTGCAGCCTCTCGGGCCCTTGCGCGGAGAGTCCCACTGCTTGGAGGCCCAGCCTCTGCCCTGCCCTCCACGTGCGCCCCGCACCCTCACGGCTCGCCCCGGGGTGGAGACCCGGGGACTCATCCTGACGCTGCTGCCCACTCCTCCGTCTCCGCAGAGCGCTCTGCCCTCCCGGGCCGCGTGCGTCTCCTCCTGCCCCCAGAGGTCCTCGCCCGCCCCGGCACCGCCCAGGAGTCAGGACGAGACTGGCCCGGTAGGGACTGCGGGTGGATGGATTGGATGGACATGGGGCGGGGCCCCTGCGCTCGCCCTGGTGGCAGCCTCGGGGTTTCCCGGTCAAGGGAAATGTGTCTTCACGATCCTAACAAACTGTCCAATTGCTCCCAAAAACGTCACTGTGATTCTCCTTTTCACCATCAGCGTTAGGAGCTTCTGACACCTTGCATCCTCATTGACAATTATTTTAAACGTTGCTGTCAAATAGCTGCAAAACAATAAAGCAATCAGTGATATAAGTACAAGTAAAATAAAGTGACTTTGAGCAGGCATCAGCGTTTCTTCTCCCTTAAATTTCCTATTTATTTACGCCCTTCATTAACTTTGTGTTTTGCTGTTGTTATGTGTCCTCTTGTGTTATGTTGTGGACATTTGACTCTGGAGTTTCTGATCCCAGGCCCTTTCTGCAGCTGCACTCAGACTGACCATCACTGCAAAGGGCTTCTGAATATACAGGGTGTTTGGAACTGTATAACCTGTTTACTCCAGGGGCATCTGAGGGCTGGTTTACATATACACACACATACCCATATATACACGTATACACCTTCACACATACACACAAACACATATACATACACACATACACATACTCACATACACACATACACATGTACCCATTCATATATACACCTTCACACACACACATACACACATACACATACATACACACACATATACACACGTACCCATTCATACACATATACACCTTCACACAGACACACACACATACATACACATACACATACTCACATACACACACATATACACACGTACCCATTCATACACATATACACCTTCACACATATACACATACACGCACACACACACGCATGCACACATTCCTCACACACACTTCCCAGATCAGAGGCTATGGAAAAAATTGACATCATTGAAAATCACATGTAGAACCAGAGATATAGACGCATCACAAAAGTCTGTTTCAGTTGGCTTTTTTTGGTGGAAAGAAAAGAAAGTGCTAGTGGCTCATTCATGTCCAACTCTTTGCGACCCCGTGGACTGTAGACCACCAGGCTCCTCTGTCCGTGGAGTTCTTCAGGCAAGAGTACTGGAGTAGGTAGACATTCCCTTCTGCAGGGGATCTTCCTGACCCAGGGATCAAACCCAGGTTTCCCACACTGGCAGGCGGGTTCTTTACCATCTGAGCCACTTACTACTTTTTAAAGCTCTAGTTTTCAAAAATATACCACCGCATACCAAACCATCTTAGCCAGGATTCAAAGATAAGGCCCTCATCAACTCAGGAGATTCTGAATTTTTTTCCTCTTTACCCCACCTGTAATTGTGCAGAATAAACATATTATTTTAAGAAAATGTGATGTTTAGACTGGTTGGATACGAAGTAAATAAACAAAAGTGAATAGCCCTTTTCTACCCCGGCAGCAAGCCCTTAGAGATGGAAATGGAAAACAATGTGCTCCAAAGTGGTCACATCAGCCCCACGGACCTCACTACAGCTGAACAAGAAGAGCTCAGACTAATGTGAAGAGAAGCATAAACCTGCCCTGCAGAGACCAAGAGAGAGATGTGAGCAAATAAAAAGGCGCTTTTGCTCAACTAGGAAAACTGAAGTAATAAAATGGGATTTCATCCTTGGTATTTTATCATTCATTTAGAATACGAATAGAAAGCCGCCCCAAATAGAGTCAACCTGGAACTGTCTTTGACACTGCACAAATAGTGTGAAATTCACATAGGAGAACTCTCTTTATCTGAGGATATTCTGAGAAAGACTAGCAGTGAGCGCGCCCGCACCTCACCAGCCATCACAGCTCAGCTCGGCTCAGCTGAAGTCACACCTCTACGGCACTGGGCCAGCTCAGAAAACAGAAGACGGAACGAAACAGTGTCTGGATACAGTCCATCCTGTTGTGGGAACTCGGCCAGTTGTGGGCTCTCAGTTTGGTGGAGAAGGGATAGTTTGTTTCATTGGCACTAACATACCAGGCGGTCCGTTGTCAATAAAGAGGCATTCCTACCTTGTACCTAATTATGATAAACTCAAGATAGATCAGTTCTCTAAAAGGAAAATATAGAAAAAATTTAGAGGAAGATTTGGACTAACATTTTTAGCCTTGAACAAAACAATTTTCTTATATTGGAAAATCAGGGAGCCACATTTTAGAATATAGATACATCTGACTATACAAAGATTTTAAAAGGCTGGGTGTCAAACAACTCTGCAGACAACTTCAGGGGACAGGAAGTCAATTTGTAACATAAGGGGCTTCCCTGGTGGCTGAGCTGGTAAAGAATCCGCCTGCAATGTGGGAGACCTGGGCTCGATCCCTGGGTTGGGAAGATCCCCTGGAGAAGGGAAAGGCTCCCCACTCCAGTTTCTGGCCTGGAGAATTCCATGGACTGTATAGTCCATGAGGTAGAAAAGAGTCGGACATGACTGAGTGACTTTCACTTTCACTGTTTTTCACTGACCATAAAGAGTTAATATCCATATGGACAAGACAGTCGTACACAGGAATTGGACATGTAATACACAAATACAAAATTAATAAAGGGTGTAAGTAAATAAATAGGCAACTTAGGGAAGAGGAAAAGTTAGCTGCTCAGACTCTACTTTATTCAGAATTATATTACTGAGGGCACCTATTGAATAGCAACACTTAAAATAATTGTCAGTGAAATCGTAGGGTGTCAGGCGCTCCTAATGTTGATGGTGAAAATTAGAACTGCAGCAACCTTCTTTGGAAGTAATCTGCAGCCTGTTAACCTTAAGAAGACATGCCTGTCAAACCCCATCAAGTGAGCCCCGAGGTCCCAGCCGTCGAGGACCCTCCTCCATCCCGGCCGGCATCTTCTAGTGGGGCGGCTCTGCCAGAAGGGAAGGGGTGCAGCCTGCAGCCAGGCTTCTGGAACAGCCTCAAAGGCTGAGTGCGTGAAGCAGCCGAGGAGACGCGCGGGGACTGGGAGGGTCGGGGGGCAGTCTGGGGGACCAGTGTGAGGAGTGAGGCAGCGAGGGAGAGCGGGGCCCTTGGGGGGACATGCCCAGCAGTGGACAGAGGAGTCGGGGACGGGGTCGGCCCCCTGACACTGCTCCTGGTCAGGCTCTCACGAGTCCATCACAGGGCGAAAGGGTTTTCCTGGATGCTGGGGACAGAAGCCAGACGGTGGGGGGCCTGGGGTCCCGTGGAGAAAAGACAGGGAAGCCGGCTTCCAGGAGCAAGAGGCAGTTCCCAGGCAGGCTTGTAAGAAGTCCGGGCTCCCTGAGGGAAAGGAGGGGAAGCGGGGGAGGAGGAGAGAGGGGTCGGGGCTCTCGAGGAGGAGGAGAGGACAGACGTCTTTCTCTTTTCTCTGCATTCCTGTCATAGTCACATAAACCCAGAAGTGATGATTACACAGCAAACTTAGATTGTTTAGACTCTGTACTAAGGGCCACAGAGCGCACAGCAGTGTGTCCTGCATGACGACGGTTCCTTCCTGAAGACCTTCTGCCTGACCCTGGCATCTTCAGTTCGGTCGCTCAGCCGTGTCCGACTCTGTGCGACCCCATGGACTGCAGCACGCCAAGCCTCCCTGTCCTTCACCAACTCCCGGAGTTCACTCAGACTCACGTCCATCGAGTCAGTGACGCCATCCAACCGTCTCATCCTCTGCCGTCCCCGTCTCCTCCCGCCTTCAATCGTTCCCAGCATCAGGGTCTTTTCCAATGAGTCAGTTCTTCCCATCAGGTGGCCAAAGTATTGGAGCTTCAGCTTCAACATCTGTCCTTCCAATGAACATTCAGGTCTGATTTCCCTTAGAATGGACTGGTTGGATCTCCTTTCAGTCCAAGGGACTCTCAAGAGTCTTATCCAATGCCACAGTTCAAAAGCATCAGTTCTTTGGCACTCAGCTTTCTTTATAGTCCAACTCTCACATCCATACATGACCACTGGAAAAACTATAGCCTTGACTAGACGGACCTTTGTTGGCAAAGGAATATCTCTGCTTTTTAATATGCTGTCTAGCTTGGTCATAACTTTTCTTCCAAGGAGCAAGCATCTTTTTATTTCATGGCTGCAGTCACTATCTGCAGTGATTTTGGAGCCCAAGAAAATAAAGTCAGCCACTGTTTCCACTGTTTCCCCATCTATTTGCCATGAAGTCATGGGACCGGATGCCACGATCTTAGTTTTCTGAATGTTGAGGTTTAAGCCAGGTTTTTCACTCTCTTCTTTCACTCATCAAGAGGCTCTTTAGTTCTTCTTTGCTTTCTGCCATAAGGGTGGTGTCATCTGCATATCTGAGGTTATTGATATTTCTCCTGGCAATCTTGATTCCAGCTTGTGCTTCCTCCTGCCCAGCGTTTCTCATGATGTACTCTGCATATAAGTTAAATAAGCAGGGTGACAATATACAGGCTTGCTGCTGCTGCTAAGTCACTTCAGTCATGTTTGACTCTGTGTGACCCCCTAGACGGCAGCCCACCAGGCTCCTCTATCCCTGGGATTCTCCAGGCAAGAATACTGGAGTGGGTTGCTATTTCCTTCTTCAATGCATGGAAGTGAAAA